GATAATGGAAAGCTGGAAATATGGGGACGGAGAGCTTTGACAGAGCCACAACTGATGAGTATGACACAAGTTTATAGTGCATGTCATAACAAACAAGAAATGTCACAATATCATTGTATATTCTTCTCTGACATGTTTATCGTTACATCTGTTCATTTAATATAGAATTTATTTCAGAGAAACATGTCTTCGGTATTAAAGGCCCGAGCTGTAGCCATTCAGACGTGAAGGAATCACTTGAGATGTGTTAAACGGATGTTCCGAGCGAATGAGCCGGCTGATTGCTCTTCAAGCTGCGCGCTCTCTGGCTTGTGTTTTTGCTCATTATCTTGTTTGTTTGCGACGAAAACAAAGGACGTTTCAAATGCGTTCACTTAATTGAAAACACTTGTGAAGATGTTACATTGTATTGACAAATTGAAAATACCATACCTCTTTCATAATACAAAAGCGATTTTTTTTAATTAAATGATTATTTATACTTAGAAACTATTTCTGTGCCATTATCATTAGCGACAAATCAACTTAGTTATGTAAATTCTGTTAGAATTTTTATCTTGAAATAATATTTTCGGTTGATTTAAATTTCAAATAAGCGTAATGTTCGTGCTCTGCCGTTTATTAAGGAAATAAAACAAATTAATGGAGGGTACTCGTAAAATTTATTCTCATTACACAAACAACTCACAATTTTCTTGAGCAAGCGTAATAAAGTTAACATCATAAGTTCCCTTCACTCGTTTGCCACCTGCTCTTATAAAAAAATCTTAACGTGTCTTTTGATTTTCTCTCAAGAAGAATAAGTATGAAGTTGTATCAATTAATCTTAACCGCTGTTATATTATTCCTGCCTTATGCCCCTTGATACGCTTTAGGCAGAGAAATTTTAAATTTAATCTATAAGTTTTTGAGTTATTGCGGTACAAACGGTATAGTTCCGTGGCGTATATTAGAGGATTTTAATAAACGTAAAGCATACACTAGAGAGCAATCGAAGGGAAACATCCTCGCAAGGTATTGTATTACAAAAAGTTAATATTCCTGTGATCCCTCGGGCCCATTCCGCTTCGGTCAATTCTCGGGTAAAACTTTTTTAATTTACCAAAATAAATTTAATGTTGCACATTGACATTGTGATTAACTAATGTTCTTAAAGTGTTGTTTCATAATACAAATTCGTGTATTTTTTCCCTAGAGAACTTTATTTGATCCTAAAGGAAAATGTTATTGTTTCTTCTACTATCCAAGTCAAACTTCTACTTCTGAATACCATCTAGAAACCAAATTACTTACATAATAACTCAAGAAAGCACTTTTAATACATTTCTGTAGCAAGCTTAGCCACTTTTTATTTTATAACAGAAGGGGGCAAACGAGCAGCGGGAACACCGAGGTGTTCAACGACGCCCATGGACATCATCAATGCCAGAGGAACCGCAGATGCGTTGCCGGCCTTAAACATTGTTAAATATAAAGATCTATATTTTTTCATTTTCGAAGTTGTTTGAAGACAACTTCTCGACGAAAATAAACCTATTTAACAGAAAATATCCGCGATACCATATTAGAGCTATCCAAGGATACAATGGTTCTATCGCGTTATGGATTACTATAACACCGACAATAGGGTTGTACACAAAAGGAATGACATGTATGTACAACCAAAAAGTTAACCCTCATCAGGCGCACCCCTGTCAGACACATAACACCCGCTCACTGGCCGTAATCAAAGCAATAATAGCCACTTAAAATGAAGATTATGAAATAAAATTATAATTAGTGCTTTGGAAACTCTGAACTAGGCATTCCTTAGATCCCTTAAACGTATATTTGTTATGCTTATATACTGCGCTATAAGACACAAAATAATTTCTCTCCATCTCCATACACTTTTAGACGAAACAACGCTAAACAACCTACGCTTGATTTTATCAAGATAGTAGAATAAAGGTTAACATAATAGGAACAGTATAAGTAAAACAAAATCTTTATTTGCAATTAAAAAAAACGTTTTAAACTAGAAATTAGCATTTCTCTCGGGTAAGTAACTTAATGCGTTGCTTAATTTAATTTGGGAACACGTCAGATAAGCAAGTAACGTATTTACTTAGGCCTCTGAGCTGTATAATTAGGAGTCTATTAGGAGCCGGCATGGAGGCTCGCGTTTGAACAGGGCCCTTACTTACATTACTCCAGTCAATTAAATACATTTATAATGACATTTTTAATAGCGGTCTTTTACATATTTTATAACAGAGATGAGTTGTTCATTTAAAGGAGTGAATTGTTTCTATTCAAATCATTATTTTTGCTACAATGATAAGTGCAATTGCACTCCCATAACCCCAGATGTTTTACAATGGTAACACTTGTCATATTCTTATTTTCAACTGTCTTTTAAGGAATAAATAAAAAGTATGTCTATGATATTTATTTATAGTAAAAAACAATTTAAAAATACAACTACTTGATGCTAACAAGGCGAACATACAATGCTAGGTCATTCAAATATAATGGAGCACTTATAGAGCGAGTGAACTCGCACTGCAGGCGCGTTACTGTCTCGAGTATTGCTGTGACTCGTTACACCAACAGGTGGCAGTAACAACATCTTTGAGAGTCATTTGTAGCTTTCTGCCAGAAATTATTTTTTATTCTTGTTGTCTTCGTAGCGTTTGTTATTGAGACATACGATGATGGAATGAGGTATGAGATTTAGTACCTCCTATGAAATAAATAATTATCATTATTCACATTTTAGTGTCGGTGGCTCAGTGGTCAAGCACTTGACTTGCAATCTGCAGGTCCTGGGTTCGAATCCCGCCATGTACCAATATGTTTTTCCATTTCCTATTTACATATGTACATTTATCCGACGTTATTACGGTGAAGGAAAACATCGTGATACAACCTGCACATATCTGAGAAAAAATTCAAAGATATGTGTGAAGTCAATCAACCCGCAATTGGCCAGCGTGGTTGACTATGACCTAATCACCCTTAACTTAGGATTGGCTCCGAGCCCCTCGGTGGGGACGTATAGTGACCTGATGATGATGATGAACATTTTAGTGTTTGGGATCATAAAATAACAAAAAAAAAATCTCAGGCACATAACTTAAACTTTACCGATCAATGGTTTTAAAATTGTAACGTAAGTTTTAAAAACTATGCAACTTGCAATCGCTTGCTTTTCTTTTATTATAGATATTAACGGTCATTTGATAGCCTTGAGGAATGAATGTAGTATAAGAAAACTACACTAAGGGACTTTTTAAGTCACCCTTAAATATTGTTATACTAAGTAAGCTCAGGAGTAGCTTCCCTTAACATAAATTTATACCTTAATAACTATTTCATGACTTCAATAAAGTTTTAATGGGTGTTTATTTATGTTACGCAGTAGAACAATAAGATGCAATGTCTTTACAATGGTAATATTTCGATCGTCCGAACTCTGTATGTAAACATAAGTTCTATTCAATTAAATTTTAGGAAAGTGCAATAAACGCTTTACGTGATTTAGCAAACTTTGTTGGTGGAGCCTTTAAGCGTACGTGTCGTGTGGCTGGGCATTATAACTACGGTCCTAATGTTGGGCCATAAAAACTGCTTTGAATTACAAGCTGTTAAAAAAAAATTAAAAGTATATTTAGACAAAAGAATAGGTTACGTTAAATGAGTACTGAAGTTTAAATAATGTTATAAATATTATTGGCGAATCATATTCGCGTTAAAAGTTGAGAAAAAATTTAGATATTTTTCATTTAAGATTTTCCTCTTGAATTAAAATACCATTAACAAATCGAAATCGTCTCTAAAACATAAACAAGAGATAGATAGTATAAGAATAACATAAATTTACTCAAAACACCTTAAAATACTTCAATAAATAAGACTGAGAAGAGTAAGAAAAAATAAGATGAAATCAAGTCACAAAATAAAGATGTTTGTAAGGAATTTAAGAGAAAAAATAGAAATATGTCAGACACAGTATATAATATGTTACATGGTAAACCACAACAGACCGACTAGTTACGTTACTTCAGTAAGTCACGGCAAACTTTATAGCCCCACTCTGTCCCGCCATAAACAAGGGAACAAACAGCGTCCACCTGAGACTCAGACCGGGCAGTTAAATTTGTTACGAGTAGTGTTGCTGCCAGCGACTCGCCTCCGACCATTTAATATCTTCTACGTTGACTATATTATTACCTTTTTGTTACATAAAGAGATATACATATATACCGTGCGCTTTGAAATACAAGTGCGAACGTCTATGATTTTTAAATGTTACCAAACAATTGTGAATTTAATACTTATGTAATCGGACTAAAACTTTAATAAAAAATGTGGATGAGATTTGTTTTCGGACAGTTTATAAAATGTCCTAATTACAAATTTAACATAAATTTTTTAAACAAGTTCTAACATGTTTGATCATATTATAAAGTGTGGATGTTGAAAATGTATACATAATACGAGGGAAAGTTGTATTATCATCAAAGTTGTTGTGTTGACCGAACGCGCTCGCTTCCGCCACGACGACCACAACGCGCGTTTGGCGGGAAATTGCGCGGGAAATATTACCCGCCATGTCCGCCATTTTGGATCATTTAAACTGTCAGACCGAGAACAAAGATAAAGGTGACGTGTTTTAAAATATTCTTCGATTATTTTCTCTTTGAAGTTGGTTAAGAGTTATAACATAAATTATTAAGTTATATTTTAGGCAACTTAAGTTATTCTTTACTCTTATTAAATAATAGCCATATCAAACGTTTATTCCATATCACAATGTTAACGTTATTTTATATTTTTTTTTGTGGTTAACAGACAAATGCACTATTATATTTCATATTAGAACAATAAAAAAAGACAATTTAAATGAATTGCTTTAAACATTATTATCTTTGAGTATTTTCGAACGATTTTTAAACGAAGCTATTTTTAAGAAGTAATGAGGGTATTAAGAAATTATTCATCGCAATGCCAGAATGGGTACCTTTATTCTCATGCGTTGCTATGTATTTTTTAATTTCAATATTAACAATGTAATCGGTTTGAAAGGTTTTTGTGTTTAGTGACAAAACTACGTTGAACAAAATACAATCAACGACTAATTGATAACCATGAACACTCCAGCGGAGGTAAGTGATCTTTGTTTACTTTTAATTTACAATAATACTAAAGACTTTTGGTTTTCATTTAGGTTTTATTTTTATTATAAGAACTCGGAGTTAATAGATACGTATAAATAAAGTTCTTTATCATTTTAGTTAGTTTATTTAGTGTATGGCAAAAAGATAGAAATGTGTTATTCATTTCAGGTTCGATGTATTGTGTGTCAATTAGTATTTTGTTGCGCGAACTGCCGCCGCAAACACGAACAAACAGAACACAATCTGACCTACGACTGCCCGATTTGCCGCGGCAAACGCTTCCTCTGCCGCCCCGAGGACATTAACCAGGATCTGATACAGCACCTTGCCGACGAGCACGTACCTCTTCAGTGCAGGAAGTGCAACAAACTGTTCAAAACTATGGAAGATCTTATAGATATCGATAAATGTATTACTATATCAGAATTAGTTGATGAACCTTTGCACAAAGATGACGTCGCCGAAGTTATAGATAATGAATTCGACTCCCTATATCATAATGTTTTAAATAATAACGAAGGTGAAAATATCGCAGCTATTGTATCTATTAACAAATCCAATAGAACTGCTGTAATCACGCCACTGAGTAAAGGCCAGCATTTAGTTGATTACGAATCGAGTGATGCTGAATCTGAAGGTAGTCCTAAAGTGCAGTTTATGACAACTCCACATCCTAAAGTAGCACCTAAAACGCCTGTTAGTAAGAAGTACTTTAGATCTGCTACACCACACGTAAACAAATACGTTCAGTTAATGAGACAAAAAGCTATTGATGATTACGAGGAAGCCATAGCTAAGGAAGAGACAAACATGTCACCGATCAGTGGGGCCATGTCTGGCGTCGACCGCTTGGAAGGTAAAAAAAATAAAAATACTTGATCATAACTACAATTAGTTCGTATGTTACTAACATTTATATTGCAACAGTTACAGACTCCCAGAAAGAGGTGACGACACCAACATCCCAGTTACCACCGCATATGATGAACCTGGTGCAGTCCGTGACGACCAGTACGCCCACGCACCCGGCGAGCGGCGGCTGGACTTTGTTCCACGAGCAAGGAGCGGATTCACCTCTCTCAGAAATTGAGAACACAGAAAGCACCGCTCAGACAATGGAAAGCGATGTAACTTGATGTTTTATCTTAATACTTGTTAGCTTCATTCCCATGGCATTACTTTTACAATATCTCAAACGCTACACGTTCCTTATTCTTTATACATAATTAAAAGAGCGCCGATTACTTTTTGTTTTGTTAAGGTATTACCATTTGTTGACTACTACCAATTTTTTATTTTATTTCAGACAAAGACGGAGTCAGATATTATACAACCAAAACTGAAAAGTATAATCGCGACCGCAAGCCGTCACCGCTTCAGTAGCCAGGAAAGTTCCGAGAAGGGAAGCTTAACTGAAACAGGAAATAACAGTACAGAGTCATCACTAAAAACTAAAAAAGTTAAATTCGCCCAAGATACCGTTTTTGAACCGGAGCAAAAAGTGAAAAGAGGTATGTTTTGATTTCAAAGTAATGACAAGGTTTTATAAAATAGAAATAATAATATACATCTTGTTTTTTTTCAGTATTTAGAAAGCCAAAAAGAATGCTAACACCTGGACCTCAAAGACAACGATTTTGCTACAATCCTCGCTTCCAAGCTCTCGTCAATAGATTTGAAACTCAAGCAAGAACGCCGCTTAACATAAAAGTCGAGAAAGATCAAGAAACGACGCCACCTATCGGTCAACACAATATGCAAGCTAGAGCAATAGATTTCAAAGAAGAAATAAATACCGATGAGGTACCAAGTCAATGTAAAGATTCTAAGGAATTATTTAAATCGTGCGTAGACACTCCATCAAACCCAATCGATAACACTATAACAACAGTCACCACAAACATTGCAACTACTTTAGAAACATGCATCAAATCCGCTTTGCGCACCACCGAGGATGAAACGGAAATAGAGTTCAAATTCGTAATAACAAAAAAGAAAGTCAGCGTAAAGAGGATTGAAGAAGATTGGGAGAGTACAGATTTAAAAAAGAATAATAATAATAAAAAGCAAATAGAACCACAACAAAATAAAGAGAACATTTGGTCATCAGTTGCTCGGGCGATCAAAAATGTGTTTTGGAGCGAACAAGGTAAAACGTTACTTTTTTAAACGTTAACGTTATATGATAATTTATACCAAAATATAAATTTGTTAAACATATTTATTACGTTGATGAACATATGCTACCATTGTTGATGAAAACAAAATATAATTTTCATATTTTTCCTCCGCGTTATAAATTTTCACATTTTCAAGCTTACGATGTTGCATTTTCTTATTTCTACTCCAATCACTTTATTTTACACGGAGGGTCGACGTATTTTAATACACTTTATTTCTTTCCCCTTTTTACTTCCGACGCTGCGGCTCGCATTTACGGTGATGGATCGTAATTTTGTCCCTACTTACCACCTACCCTGCGATTTTATACCGTACTTTACATAGAACTTATCCTAACTCGACTGTATCTTTAGTTAATTTTACATTTAATAGCATTTACGAAACTAATGTTTAAGATATTGTCATATCCGTATAAAATGTTATTATATAAAAGTTGCCGTATACTAAAAAAAAAAAACAAATAATTTAAGTTGATTATTAAATACTATGAATCTGTTAAAATATTAATTTCTTGCAGTTTGTTCAACGCCTGTCGGATCGCTGGATAGCAACGACTCGACATCATCTTCAGCCTCTAAACGCAAATATGAACAGATGTCGGACTACAACCTGAGTCCGATCAACCACAAACGATACAAATATGAAGGCAGGATCAACGGTCGGCCACCGCTCAGGCGCACCAAGTGTTGGGGGCTGCCCGGGATGAGACCAACTACGCAAGAATCGGGCAAAGATTCACCGGAGTGGAGCCAGGATTAATTGCATACATTTTAAAATAAGGAAGAAAAAAAATTACACTATTAGTTTTTAAGCATTTATTTATGATTTTTAGTAAGTTTTTTATTGCTTTTATGTGTTAGTAGTTATCAATTATGTAAAATGCAAAATGTTCCTTAAATGAGTTAGGTATGTGAAGTTAATTTTTTTTATACTTAGTCATTTTATTGATTGTGTAAATAAGTATTTTAAAAACGAAAAAGGTAATTGATAATATGATTTACTTACCAAATTATTAATTTAGTTAAGTTTGTTTTAATATGATTAGCAAAAAACCTTGTTCTGTGATTTATTACGTGTCCTGTTTGTGTGGTTTACGAAAACAATTATAAGTTCTACAAATATAAATTTCTTTTCTTAAGGCACTTTTCCTTATTCATAGTAACAACTGCCATATAGTTTTTAAAAGTGTAAAACCTGAAATTCAAAATATTGTACGACACAACGACATTTATTGAGGTCGTTTTGTTTCACCCCAGCTATCAGAGTTTGTCTATCAAATACCTAGCTAGCATTTCACGGCCTCGCATGGTCACGTATCGTATATGGCTGTCGTTTTTCTTTTAAATTTTTCACGTACTGTACGCCCCTCAAATGTTGAGGTTCGACAAGGGTTGTGAAGTAAATAAAAGAGACGTATAAGTAATACTAGTTGCACACTAGGGCAGAACAGTGAGGCTGTATACTGTATACATTACTGTTGTTTGAACGCATAAGCTGCCGCCAGTAAATCCTTACGGTAATGGAGTCTCACTATATAATTAACACATTTATACAGTCTTTATTTTTTTAAGAGAACGAAAGAGATGGCAATATGCACGTCAGTCGAAACCGTTATGATACAGAACATTACTAGTTTAAAAGTAAGTGTGCGTTTAAACAATAGTAAGTACTACCCTGCCTCACCGTGCTACCCGCGTGTGAAATAGATAAACGGACATTTTCTGAGAGCGAGTAAATGACACGTCACTTTAAATTCTCAGTGGCGGCCGCAAAACACGACGGAATGCATTCAAATACATTTTGTTCAAATATAAAAAGAAGATTTAGATTGCTCGGTGCGTTATTCGTATCACGATCGCGGTGCTACGTGACGATATTATACCAAATTCAAAGGGTAGGAATCGGGAGACGGCGTATTAAAAGTATCGTTCCTATATTATACAGAACGTTTCCAGTGTAAAGTATGATACGACATTTGCTAGAAGTGGGTAAAGGTAAAAAGTTTAGTAACATTTAACAAAGACCAAAGAACATGGAAGTCAGACAACATTTAAGATAATTTAATATTAGAACGAATTTTATTTTTATTTTATTTGTAACATAAAATAAATATTTTAAATTTTATCAGTTATTCGATTTGAATTGATGTTAAATAAATAAGCGAGAGTATTTTATTTGTTTGCAAATTAAATGAATGTTAATTTAGTATGCAAAACTTCAGTCGCGCGAGCTGTCCGGACCCGGACCCGGACCCGGACCCGGACCCGGACCCGGATTTTTAAATAAAACATTTAACTAATTGATTTTACACACTCATGCGACTTTTTTTGTTTTCAATTTTAATTCAATTTTTTGCATACGCAAATCGAAATTAACTACGTGGAATAAAAAGGTAACACAGTTTTCGTCAGTGATACAATTTACAATTCAGATAAAAAGTACTTAAATTAAGATCAGAAAAAAGGGCATTATAGTCATAATTATGTCTCCATCAGTTGAATGAACACATTTCTGCCGTCAACAGTATTGAGGTACTGTTATTTACTAAATCTGATTATTTTCAATGTTTTTCAACTGTTGCTTGATTTTACGATTGTTTAGGCGTAAATCTCAGATGGAAAAAAACTATTGCCATTGCAAGTTTTTATCCACTTTTTAATATTATTTGACATCTAAAGTGCAATTGACACAATGATCGAGGTAATAAATGTGTGGAAATAGAACAAAGAAGACAAATACATCTCGCGTGCAGCGGACGTCGGCTCCGCTTTTATTGTTTTTGACCAGGAATTAATGGCTTGCATCAACCACCAGCTCCGCCAACCGCGCGATCAAACACAAAAAGCACATTCACTACGCTTACCTCCAGATTTAATTAAGTTTAGATGAAACTGCTTCGGACATTTTCAAATCATTAAACTCTGAGAGCTTACTGAGTTCGTTTCCCGGGATATCGAACAGCAGGAAAAATAGAATTGGTTTGGTACATTCATAGTCATTTAAAGACTCTGAGTGCGGCAGTTCGTCGTGCATTTCTAAGTCCTTGCCGATACTTAGAAGCTCACATCTATAAATTCCTTCTTTGTTCCCAGGTAAACGGATCATGGGGTCTTCCGGCGTTCGTCTGCGACGTGTACATAGCCATGGACGTCACGTCCTCTACGTCCAGTATATTCAATCTAGTGGCCATATCTGTTGACAGGTTTGTGATCTTTGTATAGTCTTGCAATTACGTTACAGTTTCATATCAAATAAGAAATGGCAAACAATATTTTCAATTCTCATTTGAAAGTGATATATATAATCTGGTAGAGGAGACAGACAGGTTACCAGTCCCGAAAAACACATATCAAACGGGGTCAAGTCAACAAGCGTCATTCCCGAGAGATTTCTTGGCAGTCGTACAAACGGTTCATCTCAGAAGCGACTTGAATTTAAATAAGAACATTGTAATTTGAAGATATTGCACTTCATAAAATTCGTATGATTCGAAATATAAATACATGTCATTGAACATTTAATACTGCTTCTATTGTTATTTTGAAAACCAAAAAGGAAATAAATAAGAACGTAAACGCTTATTCTAGTAAATCTGAACATCTTAAAGTCTGCGCTTTTCTATTTGGCAAGACCCTGGATCAAGCCATTTCTGTCTTCTATGCATTTGTTTTGAAAATAATCATCGGTTACTCCCAGGTACATTGCGGTAACTCAGCCTATAAAATACGCGAAGCACAAGAACAACCGTAGGGTGTGGCTGACGATATTGTTGGTGTGGCTGGTGTCTGCGGCTATCGGCGCACCCATCGTGCTGGGCCTCAACGACACGCCCGACCGCAACTTCGACGAGTGCCTCTTCAATAGCCAAAACTACGTGCTCTACTCCTCCATCGGCTCCTTCTATATCCCCTGCATTATGATGATGTTCCTGTATTATAATATATTTAAGGTCAGCTTACAAAATAATATTTGATGACGTTACTAAGGAACTGTAACTTATGTGTTTGCAGTACTTTCGTGTGATAGAAGTTCACACTTCTATTCATGGGTTTATTGTGAACATTACATGCTCGTTATATTATATTTTTAAAGTAACTTGAGGCGCCCAGAATCTTGCCTTGGGACTTACAAACACACACGTAAAATAAAAGGTGCGATACAACTCTACACTTTATTTTTCATGTAGATTCAATTGTGCAAAAAGCTTGAAGTAAACGTGGTCTCGTAAAACGAGCGTTTCCAAAGCATTTCACACGACTGGTATAAAAATTCTATTTTATATTGCAATTGTTTGCCGACTAGGTTTGCGTCTTTACTTGAATACTGTATTGACTTTTCAAAACAATACAATTTTCATTTGCAAAGAATTGAAAACACAAAGATCTGTTTGTACGCAATGATCTCCTAAAAGTATTTTTTTAGAAGACGGAACGAAAACCATCCTGGAGTTAATCACCGCTTTTAAATTAAAATTAATTTATTGTTTTGTACAGGCACTAAGAAAGCGAGCGAAAAAGCAACGCGCTGCAAAAAAACCTCCGGTATCTGGTGACCCCTTGACCGGAGTCACGACCGCCGTGGTCATAGAGAACGTGGCGCAGACCAGAATTCTGGCAGAGACTGCGCTGCACGACGACCGGCCCACGAACACCGGCTCCGGGAGCAACGAGGACGATCACGATGACAGGTAAAACGCGAAGCACAAATTTTATTCGCCTCAACAGATTTTGAAAAAATTCTGTAAAACAATAGTACATACGTAGCATGTAATGTCAGATTGTACGGAATGGTTCTAGGGATATTTGCTATAAAATCATGTCCAACAGAGGCTAGTCGTAATGTCTTAATTGGATCTACAAATTTTGTTTCAGCTTCGATAAAAGGTCCGTGGAGCTGGAGGCGGACGCCGAAGACTGCCATGTCATACCTAACGACAAGTCCACGGACTTCATGCTCGCTGCTGTCGCTGAAGAAACAATCAAGTAACTGCTGTTTGAATCTGTAATTTTGGGACTGGTTCATATTTATTTTTATAGCTAATATAACAATACGCTTACAGGACACCAAAGAAAAGTCTGAAGATGCAGATGGTTGCGGACACAAATGGGAACAACGACTCGGGATACGCGGCGTCAGCGGCGGAGGAGGGGCGCGAATGGCGGGAGGCGCGAGAGACATCGCCGCCGGGCTCCCCAGGTCCGCGCGGCGCCACTGTGCTGCGGAACCTTGGCGCCGACACCAAGTTCAAGAGGAACGGCAAGATGGCACGGCTCGATACAGACTCAAGGTCAGTTTTGTTTTAACTTATTGACATTTGAGTGTTATGGATCTTGAAATAAACAGAAACACATTTTTTTTAAATATGTGTTATCGTAAACATCTGGCGGTATAGATGTACATCTTTTTCAGAGCGATCAGGTATTCCCCAACAATTTTAGCGCACATTGTTTACCATATGAAGTGATAAAACGCCGATGTGTTTAGAAACGCGTCGCTGGGCATGCGGTCGGAGGACGAGCACGAGGCCAGCACGCTAGAGCTGCGCGAGTGTAGCAAGAAGGAGCGCAAGGCCAGCGCTGCCACCGCACGCTTCACCATCTACAAGGCCAACAAGGCCAGCAAGAAGAAACGGGAAAAGTCCTCCGCCAAGAAGGAGAGGAAGGCCACGAAGACATTAGCTATCGTCTTAGGTAACAAATCTTATTATTAAATTAATGATTTCGATGCAGTGTATCATACAAAATACTAGGATTACTATATTGGATGTGTATCTATAAGTTTGGTACTGACA